AGCGACCACTGATTCCACCGCTGAAGGCCTCTTCCCAGCCTTCCAATGGGAATCTGCCTTCCTGGAACCTCAGTCCGTGATCTCGGGCCCGGATTACCCACGTCTAGCACCTCAGTGGCTTCCTAAAAAGACTTCCCAAATCTTTTTGTTGCCCCAAATGACTTTCCTTGCCCAAGCAGAACCACCTATCCTGCGCCTGCTCCTTTCCCGCCCCCGACCGCTGCCACCGTACGCCTGAGGGTGGGGAAGGGGACAGCACCTTTCCAGACCCTCGCGGCACACACACACCACCAGCCACTGCCTCCGTGGCCATTCTTCTCCCCCCTAAATGGCAGGTGGGGCTGTTCACAGGTGTTCAGTGAGGCAAGAACCTTCCAGCGGCCGACTTGACTGGATGCACAGAGCTGGAGCACAAAGCCCTCCGAGGTTTGCCCAGCCCCTCCCTGTGGCCATCAGGGCAGTGCTCCCTGCCACCCGCCCGCACCCCCCAGTTGATTTCCTGTGGTTTCAGCTTCCTTCCCTCGCTGGCTCATTGTAGGGATGAGACAGAGACCTGTCTGCTCCAGGAAAGGCAAAGAACAAAGGGAGAAAAACCACGGAGCGCTCGGGAAAAACAAAACCTCCGCCATTGACAGCTGCCCAAGGACACAGAGCGGCACTCTGGATGCTCCAACCCTTCTGCAGGCTGCGAAGAGGCAGCCGGGCAGGAGCTGTGGGGTTGGGCTGCCTCTGTGCTTCGCGTGGCTCTCCTGGGCCGCCCCCCGCAGGGCTCTACTGAGCAGATGGGCTGCTGGCTGCCTCTGCGCAACCCATCACCGGGCTAGCCATGCCAAAAAAGCAAAGGGCTTCAGGTGCTGCTCTCCAGTTCAAGGCCACCCTCAACCTTACAGAAGCTCCCTGGAGTGCTTTGCCCACCCCAGCCCAGCCCGGGGCTTTCATGTTGTGGCCAAAGCCACGCGTATTGACTTACACAGCTAAAGACAATAAAAATACATACGTCTAACAAATAGATAAATACCAGCGTAATTTCTTTTTCTTGGGTTGGCCCTTTACGTTTCACTGTTACTTCCAGGCTACCTTTCCAACAAAAGTTACAGCACCCCACCCTCCCAGCAAGAGGGGAGAAGGGCTCTTCCATCGCTTTCATGGCCTCGGTGGCCCCATCTAATAGTCGCACAGCCCAACTAACCCTTACGGACTTTCTAACTAGAATGTCATGGGGCACCTTTCAAGCAGGAGGGGCTTCAGCTGAGCTAAAACCACATGCTAGTAGATGCCTATACTGCTAAGGGAGGCGCCGCTTATCCCACGCAGATTCTCTTCCCCAAATCCCTTCTTTTGATTATCGGTCACTTGATTTGTGGGTTTGTAGAAAAGCTACAGGTAAGGGTGCACCATGCCGAAGACCTGGTTTTATTTTACGACAGTGTGATGCTGGGATGTGGCCAGTGAGCCCCCCACCCTCATCACAGCATGGCTCAGGGGCACAAGTGTGGCAGAAGCCATGGCTCCCGAAGGAGTGGCTCTGTGGCCCTGCTGGGAAAGGACACCTGAGGGTTCAAGGGCCAAAGGGCCCCGCGCACCTCTTTGACGTCCTCTGGACTGTCAGCAGGCTGCGGCAGCAGACTTGGATTCCTACTGCCACAGTGGAGGGTCACTCCTGGGGCTAGGTCAACAGTCTCCACCAGCAAGGTGGGCTTGACAAAGACAAAGCTGGTGGGCTCGAGGGTCTTTCCTGGCGGAAGAGGAGGATGGGCTGCCTGCTCTGGGAGGCTCTTCCGCAACACTTTTAAGGGATCCTCCCGCAACAGCCCTGGGGCTCCTCCATGAGCCAGGATGCTGCTTTGATCCACGGGGGCCTGCTTGACCGAGGCAGGGCCTTTAGAGGAATGGCGTTGTTTGCAGCGGCCTGAAACTGTTTTCAGTGCTTCCTGGCGCCTGGACTCAACGTCGGGGTCCACCACTTCCACCGCTGGCTTGATCCACCGCTTGGGTAGGCGAGCTGGCTCCAGGCGAGGCACCAGCGTGATGTTGCCGGTCTCATCGTAGAAAACGTCCTTGATGTTGGGGGGGCGGCCCATCTGGATCCGGAGGAGGTTGCTGCACGAGGAAGGCAGCAAGGGCTGGGCAGTGCCCAGCATGTGCAGAGAGCTCACCTCCAGGGGGCCCTGGGAGAGTTTCCGCAAAAGGAGCTCCTTCTCAGAGCCATCCGGGGGCTTCATAATGGAATCAAACCTGGCCAACTGGGGGGGCACCAGGAGGGGCTGGTAAGACAGCCTGCCTTTGAAGGACGGCCTGGAAGCATCAGCGACGGGCAGGGACCGAGCCCGGGCCTTCAGCAGCACCCTCCTGCTCTGTGGCCTGGGAGGCTTGACTTCCGGCATGGGGTGTCGTTGGGGCAATTCCTCCTCCCACTGGAGGGATGCCAGGGGCAGCTCAGCCATGGCAGCTTCCTTGCCAGACAGCTCTTTGAGGGCAGGTGCTTCCTCCGGCACTTGCGCTGTAGGAACCTGGAGGAAAGGGATCAGCAGGGGAATCCCGGGCTGAGCTAGCCTGGGCATTACCGCTTCCCAGCAGGAGAGTTTAATGCTACTTTAGCATCAAAAGCGGAAAGGATCAGGAAAAGGAAAACTGGGGAAGCAGCATCTCTTTATCTGGACGCTTTTCTAATTAATTAAGAAGCGCTAAGGTGGCTTTTCCTGTCAGCCGCCTTACGCATAATCGCTTCTCACCTGGATATGATGTATTTAATGCCCTGAATAAACGGCGGCTTAAATAAAAGGATAAGAAATGACGAACGTTTGCCAAAAACGCAGGCTGCGCCGAGGAGGCTGATTTCCAGGATTCCGTAACGGGCGCTGAGTTTCGCCAACAGGCTGGTTTAACAGATTCGGCTCAGCCGCGGGAAGGGAGGGAGGAAGAAGGAAGGAAGGAGACCGGGAAGCCCCCGGCTCCCGGGCTACGGCGAGCAGGGCCTCGCGCTCCCCTCCGCTTCCGACCCC